CAAAAACCATTATGTATGTACGAATGTGATATTGGAGATATTAAGTCTGCAGTATATTAATATGTATGTTTTTATTGCACATTTGTGCATATATTTTACCTCAAAAGGAACTATTTCTTAATAGTTTGAATTTTTGGTGACTTTTTGTGATTATTTTAAAAAATATTTTTAAGATTCATATAAAAGTGTTTGAAAAGTATTTTAAAGAAAATAAAAATATTAGAAAAGTAAGAAAAATTATATTGAAAAAATGTATAGAAGTCCCTAAAGCCACTAATAATGCTTCCTGGTTTGAGCAAACGCATGAATGCTATTTACACCGGATTAACTGTTGACAAAAGTACCATTTTAACCAATATTGTGTTTGGAAGCAAGTTTGTTAATTTTCCTGGAGAAATAAACAATACTTAAACAAACTTAAATTTAGTGCTTCAAAGTATTTTTGTGTTTTTGTGTTATTGTTTTTTATGTTTTTGTTTGTTATAATAAAGAAAAAATGTCCAGAGACGAAGACAGAACAAAACGCAATGTGCTCTCGTTCATTAATGGACCCGAGCCAAGCATAGATCGGCGATTTCGTCCATGTCCGAAGAATATATTCAAAGCAAGTGGTGACATATCGAAAACAAGTACTATTGGAGAAGATGGGGCCATGGTGTATCTACGACTGCGTCCTGTTAATTCTCCTTCATCGTCATATAAAATTGCAGGCATGGGAAATACTCTTGTGGTGAACCCACGTTTAGATCAAACAACGACAAGTAACAATAAAGCAGCAATGGAAAAACATTTTACCTTCAGCGCGATATTCGATAATAATGATAGTCAAAAGGGCGTATACAATAAGTGTATAAGTGACAAAATAAAATTGGAGGAAAGTTTCACAGTGCTGACTTATGGTACATCTGGTTCCAGAAAGACTTTTACACTATTAGGTAAAATTCAATTAAAGTAAAATTATATGATTTGTTTAAAAATAATTGTTTCTTTAGGCGATGACGTTAATCCTGGTATTGTGCCGCGTTCCATTGAGAATATTTTCACATTATACAATTCCAATATAAATCCGCACCCGGCAGTTAAATTACAAAATGCTCGCGTAGTTATTTTAGAGGATGAACTTTTTGCCAAGGAAATAATTTCAACTCGTCAAGTGCTCACAGCTTGCGGAGATATAACCTCAGTACATAAGCAATTCCAACAAATCATATGCTCAGATCATAATTTTGAAACCACAGTTTTCGATGATGTGTTTGTTATGATTTGGTTGTCATTCGTTGAAATTTATAACGAATTTGTCTATGATTTACTGGAATTATCGGCATCTAATCAAACAATTACAGTGCCGTCTCGTAAGAATCTTAAAATTGTTAGCAACGATGGAAAAGTTTTCGTGAAAGGATTAACACAAGTTTATGTGAAGAATAGCTTGGAAGCCCTAAAATTGCTGCGCTTTGGCTTACAACGTGTCACTTACGCCTCTACTTCCATCAATGCAAACTCCAGCCGGTCGCATTGTATATTCATCATTGACGTGCTAAAGTACAATGCATCAGGTTTGATAACAGAAGTAAGTTATTTTACTATTTTACTATCATTCAAATGATTTTATCCATTATTTTTTTGTTTTGTATTTGAAGATATCTTATAAATTCTGTGACTTGGCTGGTTCTGAACGACTTGACAAAACTGGGAATGTCGGTTCACGGCTTAAGGAAACACAACGTATCAATACATCGTTGATGATTCTGGGTCGCTGTCTTGATGCTGCTAATAATTTAAATCGTAAGAAGAATACTGAGGTTATTCCTTACCGAGAATCGAAACTTACGATGTTGTTGCAAGCTCCACTGTTAGGAAAGGAGAAAATTGTCATGGTGGTTAATGTTACACCCACTGAAAAATATTATGAAGAAAATTTAAATGTTTTGGGATTCTCTTCAATCGCTAAGAATATTATCTTCAAACCACCAATTGTGAAGCAAAATAACTTAAGATTTTCATTCTTTTTGGAACCTTCCAAGTCCGGCAGTGCACAAAATGCCTACATTGAGCAATTACTCGAAGAAAATATTTTGTACGTTTTAAAATACCCTAACTCTTTTGGAATGTAATAATATATAAATTATTTATTCAAATAGGCTGCGTAATGATAATGATCGACTGATAAACGAAGTAAATAATTTCCAAATTAGGATAAATTCTGAACTCTTGCGGCAAGAAAAAGAAATTCGAAATGAACTTGTGGACTCGTTTGAAAAAACATTGACTGCAACCAAGGAACAAGCTGAAAATCGTCTGAAACAGGAACTTGAATGTCAAAAACGAGTATTTGAATCAAAGGTGAGTCAAGTGCGCTATCAATTCAGATATATTAATCACATCAATAATTAAATTTCAATTTATAATTTTTAGTTGGCAAAAGTGAAACGAGCGCATATTGAACAAATTGAAGATTTGCGTGAAGAGTTACAATAACTGAAAGAGAAAGAATGTCAAAAATATCCGAACAAACACAATCCAACACTCGCTTTTAGTCCGCGGCAAGTTAAGGTATTGCAGGCACTGCCAGAGAAGATTCGCGATAAAACTCAAATCAAAATTGAGACAATAGATTCAGTAGTCGCAGATCCTAGTCCGATAAAAAATGATAATTCGCATGAAGAATTACAAGACTTAAAAGAAAACATTTGCGATGAAATATCAAGGAAACGCAGGACATTAGAGAATATGGGAGCCTCGCATGAGGAATTTTTAGAAACTGAAAGACAGATTTACAATGAAAATCCAAACAAAGTGATTGTACTAGACGCAAATTATACGAACAAAATAGGAGAAGAATTAGAAAAAATGGAGGAGGACTCAAGCGATAAAAATTCTAACGAACTCAACACACTGGATGTTTAGCATTCGCAAAAAATGTAATATTTTTTTACGCAAAGAGAGAAACTGCATCCTATAATAATACAATCACGAAATAGTCCTTGTAAAAGAGGATTAGCGTTTTTTTGTAATTTATAAGAATATTTCTAGTTTTGTTTAAATAAATGTATTAGATTATATCAGTTAAAATTACACAATTTTTTACTAATTATTTTTTAATTAAGTTAAATTCAGGCAATTACAAATGAATCAGTTTAAGTTTTAAACACGGTAGTAAGATTTTTCATCGCGTTTAGATAGATGTAGCAGATAGAGCTGAACATACTTGTATCATAAAGTAATATCCAAAAATAGATTAAGTTTTTTTCAAATAAAGGTAAATGTCCATTAGACTGACTATTGTATTACGGAAAAAATATGAAAAAATAATTAATTGATTTTAAATAAATTTATCTGCGTGATACCCGATATACCACCAGTAAAGCTAAAATTAATTATTTTTCTAGAATTTTTTTTATTGTATATTATGTTAAATTAGTATTATTTTGTTGTAAATTAATTAATAATTTAAGGCTTCATCGACTAAATGATGAAGTAATTGCATTAAAGCCCACATAATTTTAATTTCTTTAAGTTCTTTATTTGTTGAATACCTTATCTTTCAATATCCTTACTCGTATTATAAGCTTTTAAAAAAATAACAGTAGGAGAATTAGGAAGGAGTTGATAGTAGCTAGCACCTTGACTCTTCTGTCCGTATGCACTCCATGTAACGGGTACTGTGTCAACCTGGCAATTTACATCACTTTTTTTTTGTAAAATCCATTATATACTTAAAGTATCAGATAATGAATATTTTGTTGAAGAGATTGTTGTAGCAATATGCCAAACTGGAAGCAAGCTCAGAAAAGGTTGATAACACATTGCACAATGGGCGGAATAGAGAAAGTAATGTGAAGATATAAAGGAGTAGAAATGAAAGTTTCGAGAATGGCCATGTCAACTTACCGGAACCACTCGTCAACCAAGTATCGTTCACCACCTCCAAATGGATATTACAAGCAGCTTCTAGCGTGTTAAAAAAAGACAGGAATGACCATCTTTAAGGCATCTCTATGAATATCAGAGTTTCTAATAGACCAAAGAATTTGAATATCTCCCTTAAGTTGATATTTTGAAATTTTTTTAGTCAAGTGTAGACTTAGCTGGCTTACTAAAAGCGATAAAACCAAACTGATTCAGAATATGTGTACAGATTGTTTTCTCTGTTTTGATGTGGTGTTTAACAAAAGTCAAACGCAATTCCAATACCTCAATTAAAATCCTACAATTTTTTTTTACAGAAACAATTAAACTTCAAATCTAATGATATTTACTAAATATAATAATAACGATTACACAATAAATGTACTTAAAGTGAAGATTATTACAAATCATCCTTAACTAAAAATAACTTAAGATTTATTTCTTGAAAAATGAAGATATGCTTTTTGTTCCCTTTGCGCTCTTGGCTAATGCTTTCTCCTTAGCTGTGAGTACGCGCTCCTTAAGCTGTTTTTGACATATTTACAAAAAAAGGTAAACAAATGTTTGGTGGTTGCATTTTCTTGAAAACGATGCAATTCTTTTTAGAACTTTAACTTCCCAAAAAGTAATTAATCGAAGTTAAAAATATGTTTTAAGTTTATATTGTAAGGTTTGAAGGCATATTTAACCTTCATGCAATATTTTTTTGGCACAGACCAAAAATCAAATCAACATGCAAGTTGAAAAATCAGTTGTTTGAAATGAGAACAAATGAAATACAACTTATGTAAACACTTTCAAATGGCTCATTCAAAATGAGCCATTTTCGGCCAGTGTAAACGCCATATTAACCACAGCTTTCACGATACTTCCCTTTAGGTGGCCTATCTCTATGGGTCACTACTAAGGTCACTACTATGCAAAAAACTCTTCAATTTTTTTGTTTTGACTTAATTATCTTGGGTGTAGAAGTATTTGTGTTGGAAATTTATTTATTGATATGCAATTCACAAGTAAATTATAAAAAATTCCTGATTAGAGTGCTTTTATACACCAATAACAAATAAAATAATGCAAAATGTTATATTAAATTGATTTTACTTTTTTAAAACTGATTATTAAGTCCTGGTTAATTTTTTTTTACATTTAATATTGTAACTATAGAATTATCAAAAATTTTTATAAACCAAATTTATAATTCGATATCTTTCCTTATCACTCTTACAATCATTATATTAAGATGATTAAGATGATGATTTTTCAATTTTGGTGGCATATAAGCAAAGTATGTATCCTTTGTCCATTTGCGCACAAAAATGGGCGCATGGCATATCAGAACAAGCGGGTGCTTAATTTGTTTGGTCTAAATTTTATAGAGAATTAAAGTGATCAGAAATATTTTATTGTAATATACTGTAATGTAATACGTTATATATATATTCGTCCGTCACTTCAAACACTGCTGTTCACCAGCTAGAAATTGCACAAAGCCAAGCTCTGAGAAAACTTTTCAAAGTTCCATGATACATTAGGACGAATGACATCCTCAGGGACCTCAAGATTGATCCCAAAATACATAAAGGATAGAGCCCTGAAATTATTTGCAAAAACTGACAGACTTACCAACACCGCGTTATCAAATCGCAAAATGGTTACAGGCTCTATGGGGAGGTATGCAGATCTGAGGTCAATTATTGCTTAGTCTGATGAAGTGATAAACAATAATCTAGTCAAGGTGTAAAGAGGGGTTTTGAAAATACCTCGAGTTAAAAAAGAGTATAAGTGCTTAAGTGCACGAGCTCAAAATAGCTTCAACATAATATATTGTATACTACTACATTGTATTGTTATTATTGTATTGTATTGTTATATTATATTGTTTTGAAATATGTTGTGTAATATTATATTGTATTGAATTGTATTATATAGCTTACATAAATTATATTTATATATTCGAAACCCACATCAGAGTGTATAATCACCTTTCTCAACAAATAGAGTCGACAATCATAGGATACAAACGATTGCATACCAATATCATTTACAGTTGACAAAATGACGGTAATTGGAGCTTTGTCCAGAGCATTAAATAGTTGTAATGTATTACGCTATGAGTTCCTGCGGTCCTCTGGAAAATAAGCTTTGCCATAACGTCTTTGTATCCATTCCAATAGAAATGAAAAGTTATGTGAATCTGGCATTCCGGCTAGAATACATCGATGATCTTAAGACAAGTCCTCAAATGCATCCTTTAACATATATATCATTCGTTTCTTATCACTACAATCATAAAATTTTTTGTGATATTTTTTAGTTAATGGAGAGTCATAATTAGAATATAGAATAGAATATTATTCCTGCGATTCGGAATAATGGTCAACTGATTTTGCAAGATTCAATCTGCACATATGTTAGCAATTTCACCCAAATTTAGTGGGTAATAAAGTCAATATATCAAATCAATATATAAATTATAAAAAAATTTTAAAATTGTTTATTTACCTCTTTTTCGTAGCGATCGATATCTGTCATATCTAAAATTTTAAATCTTCGTGCAAGTGTCAATTTACCCTTTTTAATCTACTCTTTCTATTCTTGTCTTTTGTGATATTGACAGACTACTCTGATTTTATTGGCTTTAGCTCTTGGTAAATCCAAATCTGCAAACATTTCATCTATATTGTGGTTTACTACTTGATATGAAACACGTCTTCCAACTGAACAGGTTCCCATTGTGTATGAAGAAGTATTCTAATGATTACAGGAAAGATATCATATATAATATTAAGGATAATGTTAAGATAAGTCTTCTTTATCTTCTTTTTAATAATGGCAGATTTGCTATGGAATTCCCGAGAATGTTTGGTATCTTCACAAACATATATAAAATTAATAGTTTCAGTAGCTAAAAAGTAAAAATCTAAAAAGTAGAAAGTAAATCCACACAAAGTCCAAGATTTGACTGTTATCAGTATTTTACATATATATCAATTTATCATATCTACAGCTATTTAATATAAACTAATATTGTAATATTGTATAAAGTAATATAATACTAATATTGTATAAACTAATATAATTTATTGTAGATTATATATAGAAGCGGTTCAGTTTAAAAAGACTGAACGGCACAGAATTTAATCTGACCGTGATTGTTCTTTGTGTAATCATCATAAAATAGAAAATATATGTCATATTATTGGTGTATGTCCAATTTTCAGAGAACACAGATGGATTTTTTTGATAAAACACTTCTGTCCGAAGAAGAAGCTAAAGTCTTGTTAAACGGCAGCACTATTTATAACCTGTGCAAATTTATGAAAAGTGTTTTAAGTTACAGGAGATTAATTATTTATGAATTTATATGAGTAATAATGTTAATAAAATGCACCACACAAATATGTTATTGTCAATTTAGATTTTAAGTAAGATTTCAAAATTTTTGGTAAGTGCTGTATGAATTTTTAAATCAATAAATAATAATAATAATAAATAATAATAATAATAATAATAATAATAAATAATAATAATAATAATAAATAATAATAATTAATAATAGAATATAATAACATATGACAATTCTTTTTTTTTTTTTATTA